TTTTTTTTTTGCTGAACTGTTACTTTTTGCAGTTTAACGTTTTTTAGTTCTAGCGGATTGGTGAATGTGACAGTTCTTGTCATTCTTTGCCGTTCTATAGCTTCTGTCCTGTTGTTGTTAACCCACTTCAAGCTTTCGTATTATGATGAGTGTAAATTAGTTCTAGACTTTCAGTAAGTATTTTAGGTCAGTAGATTTGGCTAGACAATGTATTTCTAATATAACCTTAGTCAATCAGTATTCATAGCTTTATGGTTGGTTTGTTTTTGGGGTTTTTAGTTTCGTTGAGAACGATTCTTGTTTCTGTGATCGGTTAATAAATTTTACTGGTGAGTTCAAGTCAACATCAAAATTTTAGGTGTTTTGTTGTTCTTTATCAGCTCGGTAGTAGAGTGGAACTGCTAAAGTTGTGTAATAGTTTTGTACACTATTGGTGTTGTATGGTGATTTGCATTGATTTGAAGTTGATGTATTGTCGCTTTGTCAGTATTAAAAATGCTGTAGAGGAGATGTGGTGCAGAGGAATTAGTTTGTTGGTTGTAAAGTAGGTTTGGGAGTGGAGGTGGTTGGTTCGAACCCTGTTGGGGTTAACGGGTAACCAATGAAGAAAAGTCATGATCAACTGTATTGCCTGTGACAGCAGTTCTAGAATTACTCAGAGGTTATGGGGAGACAGCTGCGAATTTTTCCTTGTTGAGAAGATCTTTGATCAGCGGAAGTGTTTTGTGGTACGCTTATCGTCTTCAGCCTTCTTTATTAAGTTAGTGTAGTAATTTGAAGAAAAGATTGACGGGGTTTTCTCATGTTTCGAGGTTATCAAACAAAAATAAATAATTAATCAGAGTGGTGTCAGAAGTTTGCTCTTTTACCTTAATCAGCAGATATGGAGAAGTGTTCCTCTGCTCTGGAACACTAAATGAAGCATGAAATAAATGGATAGAGTTGTTGGCGAAGAAAAAAAGGGATTAACAATTTTGAGTCCTGGTGCGTAAGATATATAATAACATATGAAGGATTGTTTTTTTTTTTTTGCTCCGGACTTGAGGTTCACAAACTGTTTTTTCTGTTTAATATTTTCAAGACAAATTCGGCTATTTCAAAATGTATAGAAAAGGGCAGAAGTTATAGAAGAATTAATCGATAAGAAGTACTTGATACTTCAACATTTTTCCAGCAAAAATTAAGCAGAATGGATGTTTGAAGTGTTTATTTCAGATCGGCAAGAATTGTGTTGATTATTGGTTTGTATACTTCTTTTGCCGCTCGCTCGCCCCAGACAAAATCAAGGTGATTAAAGTCAGCCAAACGCACTTTTGCCTTCAGAATCTGTTGAAAAAGAAAAATTGATTATTTTTTGGAGAAGTTTTATCTGAGATTTGTCAAATTAATACTATGCGATTACAAGACTTTTTTGCAATCTCTAAAAACTCGTTTTAATTCTTTTTTTCTGTGTTTATATGTCTGCTGTTTGCAGTACTGTAAATAAAATAAAAAACCTTTGGATTTAATGAACGGAATAAGAATCCTTCAATGTCGGCAACGTCGCCTAAAATATCTTTGTCGCCATAGTAGAGATAGGTGTCTACATTAATTTTTGTAAGATCATAAACTGGAGGAGTTTTCTGAAAAATGCGGTATACAATAAGGATTTGACCACGAGTTTAGTACCAATGAACAAAGTTACCATTAGATCTTAATATTTTTGACTGTTTACATGAATAGATCTCAGATGATAACAGGTTAATTCTTACATTTCCGTAGTGCTGTATATTTATATTGTCATCTTCGTAGTCAAATGACTGCAGTTTTTTGCTTCTGACCATCTGCGCCCAGTGAATGATATTCAATGTGGACGTTCCACTGGGTAAATCGGTTATATAAACTGGCACACGAGACTGAAATTGTTTATTTGTTTATTTTTTTAAAGTTTTTTAACTTAAATCATTGTTTTTTGAATTAACACTTTGGAGTACACTTAAGCTTAGTTGCTTTATTACAATGACTGTCGAGGCCTTGATGATTCGTTCAAAACCTTTTTCGTTTATGTTTAATCTTATGTTTCATACTGCTAGAATACCGTACCGTGTTAAACTGATTACTTTCGGGGCCGCAAATAAGGAACAGCACATTGTCACAAATGTTTTCTGTTACTGGATTTGTGCATATTAGTTCCTCAATAATTTGCATAAACTTGCTATCTGGGAAGAACTGGTCTTCTCCTAGATAGTATTCTAGTAACTGAAATATTTTTATGTATTACCACTTTTGTTTCTGGAATTTCATTGGGTGCTGAATAAAAGTTGTTGTACAAGTTAGTATTATTTATGAGTATCAGTTAATAGCAAAAAATTGGCACGTGTTGTTTTGCCAATTCATACCTCAAAAACAAAGTAAAAATCTTTCGCAATTAGGCCGACCATACCTCCCAAATGTTCTACTGAAGCAACGGGAGCCAAAGCGAAGAACTTTTTGATCTAAACTTTTGCTTTTTGAAAATTAGATCTGTATATTGTGTCTAATTGAGTTCTAACTGGTGCTTACTAGTCAGTTTTCATACTCTTTTTGGTTTGTAATTTTATTTTCTTTGGTTTTTATTCTTGTATTTTTACCAGCTGTTAAATTAAAGCCATATTTAGTTTAAAAAGCATTGCCTGTTTAGTTTGCAAGCATAGGCCAGCTTAACGCTCTATATAGCCGACACTATGTAAAGCATTTCTGTTTTAAAACATACGAATCATACCATAAGCTATTAGCACTGGTTAGAACTATTTCCAAGCGGTGCACATAAGTCTAATCAGGACTATCTAAAGTTAAAAGAGAAGTATAAAAGCATACTTTTGGTGCAAAGTCTGGCTCTGACGCTAATTTTACGAACATTGTCAGCGTCCCTTGCGAGTGTCCGATGTAATATAGCGATGTCTGGTTGGTCGTCTGAAGCGCTTTGTCGATCATTGCCGTGGTATCGGCTTTTGCCATATCCTCCCAACTAAATAGATGTAGAGGTAGTAATGAAGTGTTGTTGGCTGTTTACGCTATTTGAATACTGTATATGCAGCGTTTTTCTGCTGTATTACTAATATATGTCTTTTTTCTTTTCTTTTGAAATTTGATAAATTTTAAAATTTATTTTGACTACTAAAGAACTTATTACAAAGCACTTGTGCTCTTTAGAATGTGCTATGTCAGCGAGCGAAAACATGGTTATGTTTAAATTTTTAACTGACAAAAGTTTGTAAAATTGTTTTTCCTCTTGATAAAAATGAAAAGTTTAAGTTTCCTAAATTTCCTGTATTTAGCATTTTTTCGTTTTAGTATTTACTGGCATTTTTCGAGGAAAATTTTGCAGTTTAAAATTTGAAGAAAAGGTAAATTATGGTATCGTAACATTTTGCAAAAAATTTTTTGTGTAAAAATTCTGTGTTTTGCAGCTGTATATGAAAAACCTTGAAGCGTGATTTGATCTTCAAGTAGCAGTTAAAGTCAAGAAGTCAAAAGTAAATTTTGAAAGCCTATTTAGATTCTAAAATCTTTTTTTTTTCTTTATATTGTGTGAGCAACTTTCTTAATTCATCTCTCAACTATGATAATCGTTATTTCTGACACAAAAGAGTATATTCCTGAGACTCCTAGTTGCGCTTCACCTGTCAAATCCTAAATTTAAAACTTCTTTATTTAGAAAATTTAGAAAATAAGTTTTTAATGAAAATTGTAGTTATAAATATCTTGACATTTTATTTCTGTTGTTTTCAATAAATACTTTTTTAAGGTTATGGTAAATAAAACATATTTTTGACTGACATATTTTTGACATATTTTTCAGGCTTTATATTTAAATTTTGCAGCTGGAGATAAAAGACGATAAAACACTGGTTTGTGCTTAAAAGCTTTGAAGAATTTTACTAGAAGGCATATTGAAGAGAAAGCAAAACAGCTTTTAATTACTTTTTTAAATAAAGTGTATGCTAATTTACCGCTAAGTCTATATTTGTTTTGATGTATAAAACTAAGAACTTGCAGGAGTCAGCTTGAGCACTTAGAAAAGAAATTAAAACGATACGTGAATTGCCAGAATTTGTGGCCTGAAGGATCCAGAGTGGTATGCGCTTTTGAATACAAGTTGCCCCTGACGTTACCCATCCAAACGTCAAATCCAGCGTCAGCAAGCATGAAGCCTTAAATATAAATTAGACTTACATTTGCTCAATTTCTGACTACAGATTTTTTCTGAAAAGCTGTTTTTTTCAATGTTATTTACCATTACTGTATGATTGAGAGGTTTCTTATAAGACTGGGGCGGCCATAATTTTTAGCATTACGAGTATTTTTGACGTAAATTTAATTTAAATTTTTATTGTAGGTGCGTTTGTGAAACAGAATTACGAAAGTTTGCTTTGATACCTAAAGCTTTATTTGGGAGCATTGTGATAAAATTTGAGCTGGAACATTCCAAACCGTGTTGTAAGAATACCACAGGACGTTTGGAAAACGGATTAAAACCTAAACTTCCGATACTGTTGAATATGTGACTGGAAATTGAAGTTGCTGACTGGCACAATTAAAATCAACTATTAATGCTAAAAAAAATAGCATTGTTCTAATGTTTGTTCAAGATTACGATACCCATTGACCGATGAAAAAGCTTATGAAGAGGGATTTTTGAATGTTTGGTTATGATCTAAGAAGAAACCTTGTTTTCCATGGGGAATACGGTGTATTGTTAGTATGTAACCATCAGAAGTGGTAACTGGTATTGTCTGTACCGGATAACCCCAGTGCGATATAATCTCAGGCTAAATGTAATCTTCTGGTTGATGTTATTTGGAACTTCAACTGTTTTTCGCCTAGTCAACTGTATAAACTTTTTAAATTTTTCTTAAAAGGAAAGAAAGTAGGCACATATCTGCTGTAATACCGTTTTCAAACCAATTTCTTCATCTTCACAGCAACAAAGCGCAACGACGGTAACCAGAAGAATAAGCAGGCTTCTCATTTGTCCAGCTGAAAAAAATGCTTCATTTTTCTGTTTACCTTACTCGCTTATTATTCGACAGTTATTCAACAGCTAATGTCTGAACTATTGCGAATGATATTAGAATGTCAGTAAAGCAAAGACTGTTTATTACGTTTAAAAAGAAGACAAAAATTGAAAAATTGTAAAGTATGAAAATCATGAAAACCAGGCGTTAAAAAAAAATGTCAAAATGAAGTTGTATACAATTTTCGTGACTATTTATATGGTATTGTTCAGCTGATAATCTCTATAACTAATAGGCTCATCAAATTTTTTTTTTAGTTTTTTTTTTTTTGTTCTTGGAAATTAAGACGACAGAATTTCTGCAGAATACTTTATTTGTCATTGAAATTTTTTGCGATAATAGTACAAAGCACCAGAAAAAGCATAAATTTTTTCACTGCTTTCCTGAACGGCCTGACGTTATCAAATTGGTTTTAAATTTTTTACTTTGACTGCATTCTTAGCAGCAACAATAAGATTCTTAGAACAAATAAAAAAAAAAAACGTTGACTGAAAATAGTCAGCAAATATTTTAATTCAAGAGGATTATCAGATTCTATAGGTTCACAGCGACCGATTATTTAGTCAATATTAGGGCTTTAACTGCTTGAAAATTTATCAAACACTGTTATATAATTTCTCACCAAAAAATGATTGAAAGAATACAGTTGTTGACATTTCTGTAAAATGTTAAATGTGAACAGTAAAAGTAATGATGAAGAAAAACCCGCAAGTAAAGTTTTAGTTACTTAGTTAAAAAATAAGATTTTTTAAAGAATAACTTTTTCTACAATCACCAAAAAAAAACTGAATGCTGAAAAAATTTTAACAGGTTTGTGTTTTTTGCTGTCTATAAACTCTGCGAATTTGGTGTACCAATGACTAAAATTGGTGCTAATCACTG